GGGGGTTCTGAAATAAATAGGGAGAGAGGAGGAGGCGGATAGAAGATGGATAGAGGAGAAGATAGGTGGAGAGGAGACAGACTTCAAAGAGGCGGGGATGGAGCCAGTAAAGGTGAGTGTAGGTGGGGAGGTAGGGAGGAGATAGGTCAGTCCGGGGAGGACGGACAGGTCAAGGGGGCGGGATGAGGTTAGTAGGTAGGAGGTGGGTGGTGGGTGGGTGGTGGTGGGTGGTGGGTGGTGGGAGGCTTGAGGTGGGGGGAGGGGAGATTTTGAAGCTTGTGAAATCCACATTGATACCATTGGGCTGCAAGCGGAATATGAGTTGCTGTTCCTGCAACCTTCGGGTGGCATCGTTGTGGCACTGCAGGAGGCCCAGGATGGACATGTCGTCTGAGGAATGGGAGGGGAAGTTGAAATGGTTCGGGACTAGGAGGTGCAGTTGTTTAGTGTGATCGGAGCGTAGGTGTTCCGCAAAGCGGTCCCCAAGCCTCCACTTGGTTTCCCCGATGTAGAGGAGGCCACAACGGGAACAGCGGATGCAGTATACCACATTAGCAGATGTGCAGGTGAACTTCTGCTTGATGTGGAAAGTCTTCTTGGGGCCTGGGATGGGGGTGAGAGGGGAGGTGTAGGGGCAGGTGTAGCACTTCCTGCGGTTGCAGGGAAAAGTGCCGGGTGTGGTAGGGCTGGAGGGGAGTGTGGAGCGGACAAGGGAGTCACGGAGAAAGTGATCCCTCCGGAAAGCAGATAAGGGTGGGGAGGGAAAAATGTCTTTGGTGGTGGGGTCGGATTGCAGATGGCGGAAGTGTCGGAGGATGATGCGTTGGATCCGGAGGTTGGTGGGGTGGCACGTGAGGACTAGGGGGATTCTTTTTTGGTTGTTATTGCGGGAGGGGGTGTGAGGGATGAGTTGCAGGAGATGCGGTCGAGGGTGTTTTCGACCACTGAAGGGGGGAAGTTGCGGTCCTTGAAAAACGAGGACATCCGAGATGTACGGGAGTGGAATGCCTCATCCTGGGAGCAGATGCTGCGGAGGCGAAGGGATTGGGAATAGGGGATGGCATTTTTGCAGGAAGGTGGGTGGGAGGAGGTGTATTCTAGGTAGCTGTGGGAATCGGTGGGCTTGAAATGGATATCGGTTTCTAGGTGGTTGCCAGAGATGGAGACAGAGAGATCCAGGAAGGAGAGAGAGGTATTAGAGATGGTCCAGGTGAACTTAAGGTTGGGGTGGAAGGTGTTGGTGAAGTGGATGAACTGTTCGAGCTCCTCATGGGAGCACGAGGCGGCGCCGATACAGTCATCAATGTAATGGAGGAAGAGGTGGGGTTTAGGGCCAGTGTAGGTATGGAAGAGGGATTGTTCCACGTAACCTACAAAGAGGCAGGCGTAGCTTGGGCCCATGCGGGTACCCATGGCCACCCCCTCTGTCTGTAGGAAGTGGGAGGAATTGAAAGAGAAGTTGATGAGGGTGAGGATGAGTTTGGCTAAGCGGATGAGGGTTTCAGTGGAATGGGACTAGTCGGGCCTGCGGGACACGAAGAAGCGGAGGGCCTTTAGGCCCTCTGTATGGGGAATGTAGGTGTATAGGGACTGGACGTCCATGGTAAAGATGAGGTGTTGGGGACCGGGGAATTGGAAGTTCTGGAGGAGGTGGAGGGTGTGGGTGGTGTCACGGACATAGGTAGGGAGTTCCTGGACCAAGGGGGAGAAAATGGAGTCGAGTTAGATGGAGATAAGCTCGGTGGGGCAGGAGCAGACGGAGACAATGGGTCGACCAGGGCAGTCAGGTTTGTGGATTTTGGGAAGGAGATAGAAGCGGGCGGTGTGGGGTTGGAGAACGATGAGGTTGGAGTCTGTGGGTGGGAGGTCACCTGAGGTGATGAGGTTGTGGCCGGTTTGGGAGATGATGGTTTGGTGCTTGGGGGTGGGGTCATGATCAAGGGGGCGGTAGGAGGAGGTGTCAGAGAGTTGGCGTCTGGCCTCGGCGATGTAGAGGTCAGTGCGCCATACTACAACTGCATCTCCCTTGTCCGCAGGTTTTATGATGAGGTTGGGATTGGAGCGGAGGGCTGCACGTTCTGTGGAGGAGAGGTTGGAGTGGGTGAGAGGGGTGGAGAGGTTGAGGCGATTGATGTCTCAAGCTTCAAAATCTCCCCTCCCCCTACCGCATCCCAAAACCAGCCCAGCTCGTCTCCACCTCCCTAACCTGTCCTACCTCCCACCTATCCCCTCCTCCCATCTCAAGCCCCACCCCCATCTCCTACCTACTAACCTCATTCCGCCCCCTTGACCTGTCCATCCTCCCTGGACTGATCTATCTCCTCCCTACCTCCCCATCTATACTCACCTTTACTGGCTCCATCCCCGCCTCTTTGACCTGTCTGTCTCCTTTCCACCTATCTTCTCCTCTATCCATCTTCTATCCGCCTCCCCCTCTCTCCCTATTTATTTCAGAACCCCCTTCCCCTTCCCCATTTCTGAAGAAGGGTCTGGGCCCGAAAGGTCAGCATTCCTGATCCTATGATGCTGCTTGGCCTGCTGTGTTCATCCAGCTCTACACCTTGTTATCTCAACAACTTGAGACATTTTGGTTTTTAAAATTTAAGACCTAAGGATTAAATTTATCAGAACTTTGCTAAAGGCAATTACATAATTTGCTAGCATGTTTACATTTGCAGTTTAGTTTCATTCGGGAAAATGGATACAGCCACATCAGTTATTCATCTATCTAGTGCTTTCTCGAGTTATGAACGTGTTATTTGCGGGTTAAATAATGTGTCTTAAGTGTTCATATAGCTTGTGACTGTGCCTCAGTGGAACAGCAGAATCGGTCCAGTATATCAACTGAAGTGCATTAATAATGACAAGCAATGTTTCAGTGTTAATACCAGTATTCTGTAGTGAGCTGCTTAAATTCATTCTGTACAGATGCAGTTAAAATGTATTGTACAGTATTTATGATAAATGTTAATTTGGAGAATTTAAATGCTAGACCTTGAATACTTTTCTATTGACAGGCACTGAATTACTTCTGGTTAGTTGTCAGATATGTTTTTTTTATAGATACAAGACAGGGAGTTAAAAGAGATTGGAAACAGTCCCTGCTGACTCTGACCATTATTTGTTTTGAATTCTCAGCCTGAAGGCATGTTCTTGGCAGTTATTTGCCAAATCATAGGAAAGTGCTGTAATCGGCAGTTCATACTATCTCCATAGGAAAGTGCTGTGAATTTTACAATGAATAGGGTGAGGCAGTCAAATCCACCTCTACTGGAATGGGAATTAAACCTTATGCTAAACTGATCCACAAACTGGCCATCTAGGCAAGTGAGCTAACTGTACCCCATTCACCCATTATTATATAAATCAAACACCAATTCACTGCAAGGTCAGTGGTGGTAACTGCAACAACTGACACAACAAAACTGGATACTAATAGTAATGCAGCTTTGCTATAACAGTTTTTACCTTACTACCCATCAATCCAATAATAAGCACTGATTTGCAGTAACATAGTTAATATCTGACTGTGATCAGCACAGGGATAAATGCATGTCAAAACTCAACATTCCCGGGCAAGTTTCTGTTTGTTCAACTCATTTTGGCCATTGACTGTTTCCACTAAGATGTAAGAAGTTTTTTTAAAAATTTCCCCCAGGATACTCAGCCCTCCACCTCCAAAGCAGCAGCAGAGCAATCTGATGATCCTTAACCTTCAACTTCCAGAGCTGCACACAAGTCAAGATCCGCAGCCTTCAGCCTCCAAATAAACAATCTTGTGGATGATGCAACAAAATGAATATGTATTCTTTTTACATATTTTCATGTCTATTTGAACTTTAATATTAACCTTGTGCTTGTATTCTGAACTTGTTTGATGTTCCAGGAATAAAAGCTGAACATTTACATGAGTTTCTATGGGAATGTGTTTGAATAATGTGGTTCCACTTAATATGTTGATCTTCAGGAACCTAAATACCACATTAAATCAAGGACTACCTGCATTGTATGCCTATCAGGAAAGGACAAACCAGCAAAGTTTATTTTCTGGTGAAAAGAAAGAAGGCTGAAGTGTGAGTTAATAGAGCACTGTAAAATTATGAATAGCTTTAACAGAGTAGGTAGCAACTGTTTCTACTAATGGAGAAAAGCAAAACCATTAATATAAGATAGTCACCAAAAAATTAAATGGGAACCCTGCAACTTACAGGGTAAATATTGATGCAATAGAAATTTCAAAAAATCTTGACAACTGCATGGAGGGTTTGTGAGCTTGTATACCCTATGCAGGATTTAAAATATATTTCTGTTCATCAAAAAAGCACACCTACCTAAGAAGGAATTATACGGAAAACTAAGTCACTATTTTACAAGATACATTGACAGGTTTTGCATATTTTCATCTGTAAATTACTTAAGGAACAAGTATGACGTAATTGTATTTTTAAAAAAAAGTATCTACAAGTCCTAGGGCTCTTGTGGCATGGTCCTACCTCTGGGCCAGATGATCTGGATTCAAGTCCCAACTATCATGGCCTGTCCAAACACATTAATTAAAAATACCTATTCTATGAAACCTGACTTCAGGGTGGGGTTGTGGTGCAACATTAGCATGTTGAAGTCCAAATCAGAAGTTTGAGTTTTCAAATCACATCAGGCTCATGCTCTTGTAACACAGTGGTAATGTCCTTACTCTGGCATTGAAGGTTTTTAAAAACGTCTATAACATGTCCCTGCAACTCTGACAGTGTTGGAAGATTAT